CCCAGCCACTGCAGCCTCCACCTGCTGGGCGCCAGCGATCCTGCCGTCTCAGCCTTCCAAGTAGCTGGAACTACAGGCGTGCACTACCACGCCAGGCTAATTTTTGATTTATTGTAGAGATGAGGTCTCATCAAGTTGCCCATTCGGGTGTCGAACCCGCGGGCTCAGGCAATCCACTCACCTCAGCCTCCCAGAGTGCGGGATTACAGGCCGAGCCACCAAGCCCGGCTGACTTTTTTTCTGTTTAAATTTTTTTTTATTCCATCTACTTCTACTCTAATCTTTATTATTTGTTTTCTTCTCATAACTATGTGTTTAATTTCTTTTCCTAGTTCCTTGAGGGTAAATTTAGGTTGTTTATTTGAGGTCATTATTCTTTTTTGATACAAACTTAAAAATTTCACTTTTAGTATTGTTTTCACTGCATCCCATAAGTTTGGTATGTTGGGTCTTTGTTTCTATTTGTCCTCAGATGTTTTCTAAATTTCCTTGTTATTTCTTTTTGATTTATAGGTTGTTTCAGAGTATATTGTTTAATTTTACTTATCTGAGTATTTTTCTATTTTCATTCTGCTTTTAATTTAGTTTCATTTCATTGTAGTCAGAAAAGATACTTTATATGATTTCAATCTTTAAAAATATTTAAGGTTGTTTTGTAGGCTAACATATGGTCTATCTTGAAGAATGATTTCTGCTTGAGAAAATATGTATTCTCTTGTTATTTGACAGAGTGTTCTCTATTAGTTTGTTAGACTCAATTGGTTTTTAGTGTTGTTTAATTCCTCTCTTATTGGTATTCTCTCTGGTTGTTTTATGTATAGATGAAAGTAAGATATTGAAGTCTTTTATTATTATGTTGCTATTTCTTCCTAATGTGTGCTTCGTATATTTGAGTGCACTAATGTTAGGCACATATATATTTATAATTACTGTATCTTCTTGGTGTAGTGATCCTTTTATCTTAATACAATATTCTTTGTTTCTTTGGAGAGCTTTGGTCTTAAAATCTATTTTGGCTGATATAAGTATGGATACCCACATACTTTACACCCCTGCTTTTATAAAATAGCTTTTTATACCCTTTCTTTCCAGACTGTAGGTACCCTTAGGTATAAATTGAATCTCTTGTAGTTGCACCTTTAAAAAAAAATCTACTCAACCAATATATGTCCTTAATTGGTATCTTTAATCCATTTATATTGAAGTAATTACTAGTATAAAAGGATATACTATTTTCATTTTTTAAATTATTATTTTCTAATAACTTTTTTGTGTCACTTTTTCTCTCTTAGGTTTCATTGAATTTTTTTCACAGCAACATGTTATTTTTTTCTCACTTCCCTTTATGTTCATTCTATATTTTCTTTGTTGTTTCCATTGCTATTACATAAAACATGTTACAGTTATAATAATCTATTTTAACCTGATAATGTAGCTTCAACTGAATATAAAAATTCTACTCATTTATATGTCTGTCCCCTCTCATTTTATGATATTAATGACAAAATTACCTCTTTCTGCATGCTTACAATAACTAATAAAGATTTATAATTATTTTATGATGTTTTAAAAACTCTGAACCAAATTTATAAGTGATTAAGGATCTACATTACAACTAGATTCTATTTTTGTCTATATATTTACCTCTCCTAGAATATTTTAAAATTTTTTGTGACTTTCTGTTGCTGTTCAATCATCCCTTTACTTCAACTTACAGGACCTCCCCGAGTTCCTCCACACCCCCAGTACTTTAAATATATCATCTTATTTTATTTTAACCTATAAGGTTTGTTTTAACAAATATGCTGATAATCTATGAGGTGCTTTCTTTTACTTGATGAGCAGTTTTTCTGTTGCTACTTTTAAAATGATCTTTTATTCTGTGACATCTTTAATTGTAATGTTCCTTGGTATAAGTCTCTTTGTATTTATCCTATTTGGAGTTTTTTGTGCTTCTTAAATTTTTAGGTTCATTTCTCTCCTCAGATTTGAACAATGCGGGGCTATAATTTCTTCAAATAAGTTACCTGCAACTTTATCTTTTTCTTTTCATCTGGTGTGCCCATAATACGAATGTTTGGCTTGATGGTGTCATATAATTCCTTCAAACTCTTCATTTTTCCTTTTTTTTTTATTTTTGCTCCTCTTCCTCAGTAATTTTGAAAGTCTTGTCTTCTATTTTTACTAATTATTTCCTCTGCTTGACTCAATTTTCTGTTGAGTTTTTCTAGTGATCTTTTCAACTAATTTATTATATCACTCCATTCCAAAATTCCTGTTTGATTTTTTATACTTCATATAATTTTGATAGTATTTTATTTTGTCTATTATTATATTACTGATTTCATTTCGTTGTCTGTGCTGTCTTTGAGCATATTTGACAGTAATTTTTAATTCCTATATCTTAATTTCTTTTTGTTAAGTTTCTAGAGGCTTAATGTTTGTTTGAATGTGTGATGGTTCTGTTACTTCATATGTCTTGTCTATTGCTGGAATCTCAGCATTTGGAGAATTGGCAAACGCAGTTTTTGTGGGCTGATTCCTCATAAAAAGGAAATCCTCCACTCATCCTGGATAAAGATTCTGTGGTCTTTTCAACCTTTTGGGGTATGCATTCCCTTCTGTCTCCTTTGGACTTGTGTGTGTAATCTCATATTTGAAAAAAAAAAAGGGGGGGGCAGGTTTTTACTAGGACCCTCCCCTAGGTGACCGTGGTACTGTCCTCGCTTGCGATGTAGTAAATTATGGTACTGGAGCTCCACCTCGTGTCTTTCTATGGAACTGTAGATTCTAGTGCACATTTAATTGTCTTAGTTCTGAGACACACCACCTCAGCCTGTTATTCCATTCCTGTTATTGTTTGAATGCAGACAAGACAGAAAACATTCATTGGTCAGCCCCCTAAACACTAAAGCAATGGCCATAACGTATTTAGATATTTCCTTCTAATTGCATTGCTCTGGCGAGAGAGAAGAGAGAATCATGATCATTATCTCTAGGTTGTCTTCATACTACTTTGAAAATGAAGAAATTTGTGTTTGGTTCTGGAGTTGTCACAAAGCATTTAGTTCATTTGTTGTTGTTAAATCTATCTCATTGGGAAATGAGGGCCCAGGGATTCCTATTCTGCTGTCTTACTGATATCACTTCCTCTCACATTTTAAAAATATTTCTGTTAATAAAATGATTTTTTGAAATAATTAAACACTTTTTATTACTATTCTATGACAGAAGGACTATATATGCTTGTACAAGATGTCAGAATTGACCCTCCTTGAAGAAAATATTCATAATTTTTGTTTAACTCCATTAGACCAATTCAGGCTCTTTCTCTTACGAATCTTATTTTTCCTACCACCAGCTTGGGAAAACTAGTTTTGACACTCTTTCACCTTTTATGATTTTTTTTCTTAAGTGACTTCCTATATTATATTTAAAATGTTTTAGTTATTTCTATAGAACTTGTCATTTATCAGCTTTTTAAAATTTGTTTTACCTTCAATGATAGTATACATTATTTGACAGTTTCTTATGGGGAAAGAGATTTACCTATATCTTGTTAGATATTGAATGATTTTACTGGGGTTTTTTTAAATCTCTTTTCCCAAGCATGGCCTCGTGTGAGGCACAAAGTAGATTCTGGTTAGATAGATAATCACTAAATATTTTTTACGCATTTTTGTGAAAGGAATTGATCTAAGCACTGAGGTTGTAGCAATAAACAAAACAGACAAAAACTCCTTCCCTGATGAAGCTAACATTCTAGTGAGGCTAATATATAATAAACATATAAGGAAATAAAGTGTAATGTGAGTAAAGGTGGTGTAATTGTAGAAACAGTGGTCAAGAAAAGCCTCACTATGAAAATTACACTGAGCAAAAACCATAAGGATATAAAATAGTAGTGATAAATATATTAACAAGATTTAAAAAGTGTGGAAGAGCACTTCCTGCAAAGTGAAAAGCAAGAACAAAGAATCACAGTCAATCTAATAAGTCTGGAAGGTCTCAAGGTAAGCAAGAGTATCTAATGTAGCTGGAAAATAAGCAAGGATAAGAGTAGCAAAAGATTAGAAAGATTAATAAGAATATTGGTGGGGGGAGGTTCAGAAGAGAGGACAGATTATTTAGGGTCTTGTAGGTCATTGTAAAGAGTTGGTCTTACTGTAAATCACATGGGAAGACATGGAGAGGAAGCATCATCTAATTTTGATTTTGAAATAATTTATCTAGCTACTGTGTTGAGATAACAGACAGCCTGAAGCACAAGTAAGATGTATCAGGAGGCTATTGCAATAATTGATGCTAAACCTGATGGTGGAGAATACTGGGAGTCAGTTCAGGTTTATAGCATAGTACAGACTGGGTGAGTTAAACAACAGAAATTTCTTACTCACATTTCTGAAGCCTGGAGAATATGAGGTAAGGTAAAGGTGTCAGCATGATTGAGTTCCCATATGGGCCCTTTTTGTGGTTTGGAGAGAAAGAGAGAGGGAGGGGAGAAGAGTGGGGGGGAGAGAGAGAGGGAAAGAGCGCGCACCTTTTATGAGCTCGTCTCTTCTTATAGGGACACTAATGCTAATCCCATTGTGAGGACTCTACTCTCATGACCTAATTACCTTCAAAAGGCCCCATCTCCAAATTCATCACACTGGAAATAATAATAATGCTAAAAGGACTGAGAAGGATCACTTTGTATAGGGGCAAAATAGGCTTGATTTCTATGAAAAAAAAATAATGTTTTTAAGTAAAGAAGAAAGCTATTTTAGTTCCATGTACCTATAAACATTATATAGTCCTTTGATTAACCATTTTCCTATTTTCCTTCTACTTTTTCTTAGATGTTCTTGGCAGCCATGGCCTTCAGCTATATAACTAAGGCACTAGGTGGAGTCATTATGAAGAGTTCCATCACTCAAATAGAAAGGAGATTTGACATATCCTCTTCTTTTGCTGGTTTAATAGATGGAAGCTTTGAAATTGGTAACTTTATTTTCTCTTTGAATAACTTTACAAAGGTTTTTTCCTTTTCTTTTTTTCTTTTTTAGTTCATACATGTTTTACATTATTGGTTCTCAGAGATAAATTTGTTCCTTGGGGCAAGTTGATAATAATTGATTACATTTAAGGTTGTCATAACTGGGTAGGGGGCAGGGGGCAGGGGTAGAGGCCATGGATGCTGCAAGACAGACCCAACAGCAAAGAATTACCCAGCCTAAAATGTCAATGGTGAGAATGTTAAAAAACCCTGATCCTACACAAAATCATTGCTTACAAACCCACACCTTGTGAAACTTTGCCTCCTCTCTCTTGAGATGCCCCAGTGTGAAGACTACTTGAGTGGGAACTATGATCTGATTCTTATGGTTCAAGGAGGAAGGAACTGTTTCTGATCAACCTATGTTAGACTTCTAATGTCCAAATGATTACAAACTCAATTAACTCAATTCTATGTTACGTGTGTGTGTGTGTGTGTGTGTCTGTGTGTGTGTCTGTGTGTGTATGTATGTATATATATATATATATATATAATTGTGGACATTGCTAAGCAGTCTTCATCCTATTTTGGATTTGTTCAATAATAGTTAATTTTTACATAATTAAGGAAAATTATTTTTCCTTATTTTATGAATTGGTAGCTCATTGTTTCTGCTCATTTTTTCTTTTTCTTTTCATTTTGTAATTATTTGAAGGGACCCCAAAATTGTGTCTGTTGTATAGATTGCAAATATTTTCTATGAGTTTACTGCTTATTTTTAACTTTGTTTGCAATATGCTTAACTAGTAAGCATTTTAAAAATAATTGTAATAAGGAAAACTTCTAAATCTTTTCTTAATATATTCTGAATTTTTGTGATTCAAAAAATTGCACCCTACATCCCAGGCTTAATACAAGTACTAGAATTTTAGAATCGGACTATTGCAGTTTTTAAAATTTACTTCACTGTATGTTTTTTAAATTTGTATTTATTTTATTTTTTTGAGTTGGAGTTTCACTCCATCACCCAGGCTAGAGTGTAGTGGCACGCTCACCGCCACCCCAGCGTCGACCCGCTGGACCCCAGTGATCCTTCCGCCTCAGCCTTCGGAGTAGCTGGAACTACAGTCACGCGCTACCACACCCAGCTAATTTTTTGATTTATTGTAGAGACGAGGTATCACATGTTGTCTGGCTGTCTGGAAGCTGCGGGCTCAGGAAATCCTTTTGCCTCGCTCTCCCAAAGTGCTGGGATTACAGGCTTGAGCCACCATGCCCAGCCTGTATGTTTCTTTTTCTCAAAACATTGATGCTACATATTTTTGTTAAACTTTGCAACTGTTTAACTGCAATTATGTGAACATCATTATAAATTTGATTTCTTTGCTTACCTCCATTTCTTGAATCTTGTGACTCCAAATCTCATAGTTTTTTCTGTCAAATAGTGATAACTATCTGTATCTGTGGGTTCCATATCTGCGGATTAAACCCACCACAGTGGAAAATTATTCACAAATATCTGAAAATTTAAAATGGCAATATAACAACAAAAAAATACAAGTAAAAAACAATAGAGTATAACAACAACTTACATAGTATTTGCATTGTATTAGGTATTCTAAGTTATCTAGAGGTGATTTAAAGTATATTGAAGAATTTATGTAGATTATATGCAATACCACACCATTTTATTTACCTATTTATTTATTTACTTAAGATTTGTACCATGCAAGTAAAGATTTGCTACATAAGTAAGTTGCATAAGTAAGAAATTTAGGCTTCTAGTTGGCCCCCTCTCTCCTTATAGTGGACCAGGTATCCATTGACCATGCCATTTTACATAAGGAATTTAGGCATCTGCAGATTTTCATATCAATGGAGTGTTGGACAAAAACCTGCGTGGACACTGAAAGAGAACTGTAGCAATTTTTCCCAGAAAGAAGTGAACACATGGCATATATCCCAAACCCTTGCTTTTTGGAAAAATATGCTTATTTTACTATCATTTTCAAGTGATAATTTTTGTGGGTGTGAAATTTTAAAAATCAATTTTTTAGCAGAATATTTAAAACATTAATCTACTGTTTAAGAGCATTCAATGTTCTATATAAAAGAACTTATTACTGGTATAATTTTCATGTACTGATATATATTTTCTCTTGACTCTCCTCACTGAATCTCAGAAAAATTACCAGCATATATCTATGACTCTCTCTTTTACATAATTTCTGCTAGAGAAAAGTAGAAACTTTTATCTGAAGGCTTAAGTCTTCCTCTAGATCAGGGAATTTATCTTCTGTTTCTTATGCATTTCTTCCTTATTTTCTTATTTAATACCCTAAGAAAGATATATGAGATGTATGTTAAATTTTCTGGATTTATTGCCTTTAACTTTTTTTCTCTAATTTTCTTTTTAATTTATGTTTAATCAATCTTCTCTGATGCCATCTGTCATCTTATATAAAGTTCTAATTTGTGTTTTTCTAAACTTTTAAATTTAAAACATTATTTTATTGTTCTTTTATTATTTTTGGCTACCAATTCTAATTTTACAGATGCAGCATGCCTTTGTAACTCTAAAGATAATAATTAATTTTTAATAAATTTTAACTCTTTTAGTTTACTCTTTATTTATTTAAATATTTCTTCTTGTGTTACTTTATCTGTTGGTTTATTTTGTTGATTTACCTTCATATTTTTTTCTGTCAATGTTCAGTAATTCTTGATTATTATCTGTTCATTGCTATTCATGAGGCCCCAAATGCATCAGAATTAGTAGTGACTCCTGCTTGAAGTTCTTTTTTTCTGCTGTTTAACCTAAGTAGTTTACACTTAACATTAAATCTCAGGTAGCCTCTCTTTCAAGAAACTTTACTGAAGCGCCGATTTAATTTAAGCTCCCCCTTTCTAAGGTCAAATTGCACATCTGTCCATATATCTATTTTTATCACTAGTATGTAAGTTTCATGAGGACAGTTATCATGGTTTCTTTCTTTTTTTTTTTTTTTTAAGTATTTCTGGTTCTGAGCACCATCATAGGTACATAAGAGGAATTTAAGGAATACTAAGAATAAATAAAGAAATGCATGAATGACTAAGTTTCCCTCAGACCAGGAAGATCTTCCTCCATTGTTCTCCATTTCATTATAATCCTGCCAACTTCAAATTCTTCAATGACATTAAGCTCCAGAGATGCAGCCAAATAATTCAAGTGCATTCTTTTGCATATAAAACCTGTTTTACTTATCATAAGCACTATACAATTTTTCAAGTGGTTTAATGTAAGTTCCCCTTCTCAATAAATTACGTAATCTTTGAGGGAAAGTACTATGTTTTGGGCTCTATTTGCATCCATTCTGGAGCTTTTCTACTACTAGACACTAAACTAGACTAAGTTATTTCAGCCTAATTTTGTTCCCTAGGAAACTTGCTTGTGATTGTATTTGTAAGTTACTTTGGATCCAAACTCCATAGACCGAAGATAATTGGAATTGGTTGTTTCATTATGGGAACCGGTGGTATTGTGACTGCTTTACCACATTTCTTCATGGGATAGTAAGTGTCAAATAGCTCTGTGATATTAATTATCATTAACTAGTAAATCATTAATAGAATTTTATTTTTTCCTTTTAAATAGGCACTTAAGCTTTTGAGAAAAATTCTAAGTGTTTATGAAAATGGTGCATATTTTCTATATAATGTATTTCTTCATTTCTTGTGGCTTTCATAGACTTGGAAATAAAAATAGTACTAGATAAGATTACTGTTTCATTTGAAATAAATACATTCTTTATGATTTTTTTTTAGTATAACATATATATTTCATGACTTTACCTAAAGGTTTTGATTATACTCAGTAAGACTTTACCACTTCACCACCATGGTATGGGTTTTCCCACCACCATTTCACTGAGTCTATTCTTTCTAAGATCACTGTGTAGCTATAATTAGAGTCAGATGCGCATGAGAAAAAAATTAAAATAGTAATGACTAAAAGAAGATAAAAGCTTTTCTTTCTCATAAAAGTTAATGTAGCAAACTACTGATAATATGATACTGCATCTTTCTATCATTGCCTTGCTTGCATGGCCTTGACCTCATGGTTCAAATTGTGGGCAGTGTTTTTCCAGGCAACAGAATAGAAAAAGAGAAGAAGAAGAAGAAACAAAGGATGTACACAGAATGAGGCTTAAGATGCGTTTTCAGAAGCATACCTCCTTATTGGTCAGAAGTTAGTTACATTTCACACCTAGATATAAAGACATTGGAAAGAATAAAATTGCCATTTTAAAAAATAAACTTTATTCCAGGCTTCCATGTTCCTAGCGAAAAATCCTAATTTAACTGCTATGGAAGGAGAGAAGAAGGGATATTGAGAGACAATGAGCAGTTTCTTCCAGAGATACCAATTACTCATTGCCAAATCAAGCAATCACGCCTTTTGGTCACCATATTAATCATCTCTCTCTTTTTTCCCCCTACATTTGACCCTCATGAGGACTTTCTTCTTAGTGCTACTGCTCCTGGTTATACTCATCATACTACACTCTCTTGATTCATTTTCTACCTTTTTAACCCTTCATTATGCCCATCCTTTTCTTCAGATTCTAACACTATAGTGTCAGTGTCCCCTAATTCCTTTTTTAATCTAATTGATTTCCTTTTCTTCTTGATTTGGATAAGAATATGCCGTAGCCGGGCTCGGTGGCTCAGCCTGTAATCCCGCGCCTTTGGGAGGCTGAAGTGAGTGGATTGCCTGAGCCTGCGGGTTCGAGACCCGCCTGGGCAGCGAGACCTCATCTCCACAATAAATCAAAAAATCAGCCGGGCGTGGTGGTGCATGCCTGTAATTCCGGCTACTCGGAAGGCTGAGGCGAAGGATCGCCGGAGCCCAGCAGGTCGAGGCTGCGGTGGCCGGGAGCGGCCACTGCACTCCAGTCTGGGCGACAGAGTGAGACTCCAGCTCAAAAAACAAAAACAAAAACAAAGAATATGCCTTAAATGCAACTAGCACATTTTTATCTTCCATTGTTTCTCGCAATTGAGGACCACATTCTAGGCCTGCAATTTGCTACTTGTGTCATATCATAATATGTTATACTTTGGCACCTGTTGTTTCTACAGTCGTAAACACTTTTCTTTCTTTGTCTACCTATTAACCTTCTATTCATCTTCAAAATTCATTTCACATGTCACTCTCATTATGAAGTCTTCTTTGATCTATGCCCCATCTCCAAGAAAATCTAGTCACTTTTTTTGTATATGTGTGACTCCTCAGGACCTTGTATGTTAAACGTATTTTATCCTTTATCATATGTGGTTTATCTTAGAGAGTGTGACTTTCCCTAAATACAAAAACTGCTTTATTTCTTGTCCTTTGAATCTGAGCATAATACCTGGCTTATAGTAGGCTGCCCTTCAAGTTCACAGTGTACTTGTGTATTTTTGTATATCAGCATTTCTTCCTAGTCTAGCTCCATTTCTGTAGTTTCTACTAAGTTCTCCCTCATCAGATTGAAAAAGATAAAAAAATTTTTTTTACTAAGTTTTGAAGAGTCAAGTATTAGAGTATGTGTGTGTCCTAAAAAAAATTAGACCGATTGACCATCTTTGAAGATAATTTAAAGGGATGAATAAATACAGTCAGAAGATTTTGTTAAAAGTCTAAACCAGGATATTTCATATCTTGAGCATAATATAAGCACTCCTATGGTGACAGTAAGGTAATAACCCACCTTGTTTGAAGAGTATTGAATAATTTTTCTTAATGGACACACCCACATCGCTTTCACTCACCCCCTTTCCTAAAGTGCAGGGAGAGAAATTGACATTTAGGATTCTGGTAATTTAGAGAAGAGAGTGGTGCAAATAAAAGGGATAACTTCTCTATGTTTCCGGAAAAAGGAATATGTTAAATCCAGTAATGTTCTTACAGTTACAGGTATTCTGAAGACACCTATATTAATCCATCAGAAAATTCAACATCAAACTTTTCAACTTGTTTAATTAATCAAACTTTATCATTTAATAGAACATCACCTGAGATAGTGGGGAAAGGTAAGAATTAATAGTAATAGTAACTATTTTAAAATGTATATGTTTAATTACAACGGTAAACATTTTTATAATATTCATTAGCAGAATTGATTTAAAAACAAATAGGTAAAACATTTGACCCTTATATGCAGATAAAATTATAGTGTTAATATACACAGTTGAACCTTGAACAACACAGGTTTGAATGGTATGAGTCCATATGCAGACCTTTTCAAACAAAAAGGATGAGAAACCAACTTATAAGGAGGTCTGAATTTTTCTATACACAGGTTCTACAGGGTCAACTGCATGACTTATGTCTTCTCGAATTTGGGTGCACGTGAGTGTTCCTGGAACAAACCTCCCGATATTCTAAGAGATGACTATATTATATTCAAAGAGTATTTAGAAGTCAATTTAAATACAGAGAATGGTTTCAGTGGGAAATTGGAAAAGGAAAGATTCACTTAAAATAAAAAATTAGGAAATGGAATATGTGAACAATGTAACTTTATTCTTTATGAAAAATGCAAATTATTATACTGGTCACAGATGTTTTGCATATTATGACACATCATAAATTATAATGGAAAATTATAACACTAGAAAATTTTCTACCTATTGTATAGGAAAATATTAAAAATAAAAAGAAATGAGGTACATTTTTTAAAATTTCACATTTTATATATCACTGGGAGTGTATACATTTGTAAATATTTCTGGAGATTAATTTTTAATATTTATTAAAGAATATATAGTTACCTTCTTAACTCACCAGTTCTATTTTTATTGATTAATCATGAAGAAATAACAGGAATATGAACAAAGAGTAGTTTTTTACAATTACAGTTATGAAATTCACATTTAGTAGAATAAAAATTAGAAATTTTTTACAATTAAAAAATAAAAGGTTAATTATAACAATTACAAAACTGTTATGTAACAGACTACTATGCTGTCATGGCAGTTTGGGTATAAAACAAATCTTAATGACATGGAGATATTGTCATAAAATAGTATTAAGTATATAAGCAGTTTACTATGACCTGGATATTTAAGTATATAATGCACAAAATGGATATTATGCATATTTTTGTGCATTAAAATATGAAAGATATATAAATATTAAAGTGACCTTCTGTGTGTAGTGTGATTACAGACAATTTTTACTTGTTTTCTTCATGTTTTTCTGTAGTTTCAAGCTTAGAAATGTGACTATAAGCCGGGCTCGGTGGCTCAGCCTGTAATCCCGCGCCTTTGGGAGGCTGAGGTGAGTGGATTGCCTGAGCCCGCGGGTTCGAGACCCGCCTGGGCAGCGAGACTCATCTCTACATAA